GGCCGCTCACGCTGGCTGCTGGCTACACACGGTAGCCCATGGCAACCCACTGCCACAGGGACTGCAGTCCACGCCGTCGCCGGCGACTCATCCTGCCTTTCTTCTCTTGATCAGTCACTTGGTGTTTTTCTGGTTTTACTCGAACTCAGTGGTTCTCAGGCTTTAGTGTGTATTAGAATGATCTGAAGGGTTTATTGAAAGCACCAATTACTGGACCTTAACCCAGAGTTTCTAATTCAGTAGGTGTGGTGTGGGGCCTGAGCTCTGCATGTCTAACAGGCTCCCAGGTAGTGCTGAGGTTGCTTGTCTGAGGACCATACTTTTGAGGACTGCTGCTCTAAATATTTTGATCCACCTCTCTCCATCTCAATGCTGTTGCTCTATTCAGGCTCTCATCTCCTTTCTTGCCTAGAATATTGCAGTAAGCCTCCTAACTTATCTTCCTTCCTTCCTTCCTTTAGTGCCTCTCAAATGCCTCCTCTTCTTCCTTGCGTTTAGTGCTTCTCAGACACATTCTTCAGTAGATGCTAAAGGGATCTATCTAAAATGTAGGCTGCTCCCCTGCTTAAAAGCTTCTGTGGCGTCCTAGTGCCTACAGCAGTCATTTGGAGACTCTCAAAAATCTAACTAGTACGAAACTTCAAATTTTGGGAGATCAACATAGAGTTGCCAGATTTTTTTTCTTTTTTTTTTTCTTTTGTTTTGATGAATATATTGGGGAATTGGGGGAGGGGAACAGCATTGGGGAATCGGGGAAGGGGAACAGTAAAGTTGCTGTCCTTTTGTTCTTCGGTCTAGTTGTGGAGGACGTTGCTTCATTGGTCCATGTTGGTATTATCATTGCCCTCTTCCCGGGTGAGACAGTCACTTGCCAGCCACTGGATGGCCGCTCATGGTGGCTCTTGGCAGCTCACGCTGGCTGCCAGCCACTCACAGTAGCTTATGTCAGCCCACTGCAGCTTCACTGCAGCCTATGCCATCGCTAGCAATTCACGGCAGCCCAGCTCCAGGTCGAGCTGTGGTTCACCATCTTAGCTGTAGAGGGCGCAGCATCACTGGACCTAATGTAGGATGCGAACCGGGGCCCTGCTGCTCAGAGCTGGCATCCCAAGCCAACTCTTAACCAATGCGCCACTTGGCCGGCCCCAGATTTTTATTTTGCTTAGTAACACCGATAAAAAACAAAAACAAAATATCAAACAAGCTATCATTTACCACCATTTTGTAAAAATTACTTTTAACAACAAAGGATGAAGAACATGATCTCAGAAAAAAAAATAGGACTTTAAATTGAATATATTTATTTTGATGTGTTCCTTATGTTTTCTCATTTTTGCCTCAGAGGAATGAAATCTTTGCCTCAGAGGACCGCTAGCCCTGCACGATAAAGTCCAGACTTTTCAACATATCAAATCAGGCCCCCATTGTCTTCCTCCTGCCTCCTTTGAGTCCTGTATCACTTGCTTGTCAATACTGAGTTGCCTAGATTTCCCTCCCTGTGTGTTTCTCATCTCTGTGCCTTGATTTCTGCGGTCACTCTGTACCAGGCTGGTCCTCCTACTCACTGTCCACTTTGCTCTGCCTGATTCCTACTTTTTAAGAGCTCAGCTCCAGCTTCCCTTCTGAGGACGAAGGCTTGATCACCTAATACCTCCCCCTCCCCAGAAGGTTTTCCACTGTGTTCTCATAATATGTATGTCTACCATTTCACTTACTACTTTAAAATAAGATTTCTGTGTGCTTTTTGTTCTCTCCTTGCTCCTCCCCTTCATAATGTGAGCTCCCTGGCAACTGGAACTTTCTTATTCATCTTTCTGCTAACAAATATGAGATTTTTATTGAATGGATGAATTAGTGATTTCATTGAAAAAAAAGAAGAAATGAAAGTTGGTTTTATTCAGAAAACAATTTATAAAAAATACATAAGGGGCTGGCCGAGTGGCTCAGTTGGTTAAGAGTGCAAGCTCTGAGCAACAGGGTCGCTGGTTCGATTCCCACATGGGCCAGTGAGCTGCACCCGAGCTGAGCTGCCAACAGGTGGCAGGATAGCTCAGCTGGTGAGAGCACGCGCTCCTAACAACAAGGTTGCCGGTTCGACTCCCACATGGGATGGTGGGCTATGCCCACCCGCAGCTAAGATTGAACACAACACCTTGAGCTGAGCTGCCCTGAGCTGCCCACGGGAGGCCGGATAGCGACTGGATTGGCGCTGACCTAGCTGCGCCCTCCACAGCTAAGATTGAAGGACAATAACTTGGCTGTTCCCCTTCCCCAATTCCCCAATAAAAAATCTTAAAAAATAAAAAATAAAAAATAAAAAATACAATATTCTTTAAAATGGGATTCTGCATTTTACTTAGTTTTATCATAAAATAGATATATAGTACCATTCTTCCTTATGTAAAAATAAATTTCATTCGTGTAAATGGAGTATGTTTTCTGTTTCCAAGACCAAGTTTATGTCCATTTCCTTGGTTTTAAATGTTGCATTCCAATTTCTCTTTTTCTGTGTGAGGGTTCCTTTCAACAGGAAGTATATTTTCTGTGTGCATGAGCTACAGTGACGTTGAGGCTTTAGCTAAGCTAGGCTGTCAGTGGTGAGACCGCATTCTAGTTCATAAGTCCAGGATTCTTTCGTTAACTTTCTTTTTAGAATTGACTATTGCTTCTGCTTTGTTCTCTTAATTCGTATTTGTTTTAATTATCTTGAAGTTATTACATAGGTGACCCTGTGAATACTTGTCAGTGAGGCCATATTTGTGGGCTGACTGAGTGGTGTCACGTTACCTTTAGTACTTGGTAGTTCTTCTTTGTAGAAACCTATTTTGTAGGTTTCTTTCTTGTCAGTATTATTTCTGTTCGTTTGATTAAACAATACATTGCTTTTTATTGCACAATCCCAATCTCAAGACCTTTGGTAGTATTCCAGCCAAAGTAGAATTTCTACACGTTTGATAAGTATCAGTAAGAGCTAGCTCCCTTTGTATTGACTTATTTTGACAGCCACAGTTTGAATGTAAATGGCTGTCAGGATTAAATAACCTTGCTAAAAATTTGTCAGTTGGTAAAAATTGTCCAGAGACATAGAATGAAATTTTCTATGACCTATTTTCCAGAGAGAAATGTGAGAAAGAAGAGACTTTACTAATTAGCCGCCACTTGGAAAGGACATGACCTCTGAGACCTTCCTATTTCTCAGATGTTAGTCACCCGAATCAGTGAGCATCTACAGCTCTTGGTAGCGTGGCTCATTATAGTACTTAGCATATCGATTATGATCAGCTTGTTTATAACTTTCACTACCACGCTCCACTGTGAGTGTTTCAGGGTGATGACTGGGCCTTATTCACATTTGATGTTGAATTTCTTGGAACATAGTAGATGTTTACTAAATGTTTGTTGATAGAATCACTTCAGTTGATTTGATTTTGGGTTTATGGTATTGATTAAAGTTAGGATTTATGTTAGTTTAAATAAAGCTATTTATTAAAGTCAGATAATGAATAAACAACACATTGAACATCTACTGTAGTCTAAAGAACTGTATGGCACACACAAATTATAAGGCATATTCTCTTCAGAGAATTTATAATTTAATGGTATATGCCTAGGTATCAAGGAAAGTTTAAAAAAAATAAAAGCAGCTGCTGAAGTCTTCACAGAGTTGAAGTTAAACATAAAGTTGTAGCTTATTTTTAGCAATACTAACTGGCCTGGGAATATGAGTAGAGAAAGCTGATAGTGGAGATGGTTCAAGGATGTGGACCAGTCACTGGCCAGGGAGAGAGGGAGGGAGTCAGACACGCCCTGGAGTCCTCAGGAGGAGGAGGCTTCATGGGTGGTGGTGGGCTTAGAAGAGTTTTAATAAAGGAACAGAGTTCTAAGGACACACTCATTTGGGATTTTAGATCATTTCAAACATTTCAAGTATTTGAAATAAATATTTTAAAGTAGTATTAGTAAGGCTCTCTTTCCAGATGGGTTTTCAATATTTTAGACGTTTCTAACTTAATGAAATGCTGGCTTTTTGAGCAGAGATAGAATTTTATCTTCTTTGACCATTTAAATAAAATTATGTCTCTTCATTTAGTTATTTTCAGGTTGGTAGCACCCACAGAAGGATCACTAGAATGGAACATTCTTGAAGTTAAGCGTCTCCTTGAGCACCAGGATAATATTCTCTCATTGGCTAATGTCAATGGTAAGCTCATTGTGTACATGTTTATATTGTGTAAAATTTTGTACTTGTTAACAACCTGTTACGAACTTCAGTCTGGTTTTGTTCTAGGATTTCTAGAATCATCATTGTTAAAATACAGCTTTAGATTAGTAGGGATTTGCAGCTTTTTATTTTTTTAGGGAGGGCGCAGCTCAAAGTGGCCCACATGGGGATCGAACTGGCAACCTTGTTGTTCAGGGCACACGCTCTAACCAGCTGAGCCACCCAGCTGCCCGGGATTGGCAGTTTTATACTGTGAGGTTCCAGCCAGTTTCATAGATTGGTAGGGTAAAATTTAGGCACAAGGAGAATAGGGTGGGGCAGAGAGAAGAGATGATGGAAGAGAATATCGTTGTCAGGCTCTGTGGGATGATTGTCATAGGCTGTAAATGCTAATGCTTTGTAGCATTGTGGCATTTTTGGCAAATGGTTCTGGCTAGTTCCTCTTTTATAGACCACACAGTACGATATTATGTAGCAAGTTATACACTTACAGTCGAATGAACAGGATCCAAGCCAATTGTATTCATGATTAAAGACTCAGAAAACAACATCAAACTAAGGTACAGGTCTATAAAAAATGGGTCACATCTACCCTTCCTCGTGGTTGTGTTTTGACTTGCCAGACATCCTATTTGGCTTCATAATGATTTTAATTAGTGTCTCCTGTGAGCTAAATCCGACATCAGATGACAGGATAGGGTCCCAAACCACAAATCCTGAGATTTAGCTAGTTTACTTTCAAATAAAGTGACATCTTATATCCTCAGAGCTATTCTGGGTGGTCTGTGTTCCAAGGTCAGATGAGAGGACTCCTGGGCGGCTTGAGTTTGGTAGTCTGGAGAAGACTGTAAGGATGCTAGGAATATGATGTAGTGGGGGCACTGGACTGGACTGTCTGAGACCTGGGTTGTCTCTTAAACATGAGGCACAGGGAAAAAAGGACACAGACAACAACAAGTATAGTCTGTTTGTATGCCATTTGGTCACATTTTTAGTTACATCAGTGAGAATGTCCCTCCTAGTTCGCAGATCCTCCTTCCTAACAGCCATCTTCTTGTACAGCCCAGCTGCAAGTCTTCCTAAGGATTCGATTTGTCTGTGGTTGATAGAAGTGACGATGTTGGGAGCACCGCTTTATATTTTTCGGGGGGCTCTTTTTCCTCTAGCCATGGATGGCAGAACGCACAGCAAGTTCTATGTGGGAGACCCTCTGACACTGCCCCAAGGCCCCGAGCCGCTGAGAAAAGCACACGGTGTCCTGTTCCAATCCCCCCGTCATGCCCAGCTGTCCTGTTCTAGTGCTGCCGCCGTGGTACCATTGACCCAGCATGGCTCCTTAACACCGACGATGGGGTGTTACTCAGGTGGCCTTAACTTCATGGCATTTCTTTCCCTGTGTGATACGTAGACAAGCTTACAACAGTTTAACCAAGAAGGCTTTCTTCAGGTATTTCTCTGCCAACTTCTGAAGGGAAGGAAAATGGAAAGCTAGAGCAAAAAAAATGAATGAAAACTAAAGAAAGGCCCTAGTACTTTTTACTTTATAAACGCCGTGACTGAAATTGCACTACAGACACTAAATAAGCCGAAAGGCTATGTAGGAATCACGTGTGGTCAGGTAGTCTGGTAGAACTGGAAAATGGTACTGTGACAGGCTGATGTTGTACCCAGGCCTGTCTGCCTTGGTGCAGATTTTGGCGACCCTGAAATGATTATATTGCACAGTTCTCAGCCCTCCTTCTTTGTCCCACCAACTGCAGTGAAAAAATGGGGCTAGTTACTGGGTTTGTAACTCTCAGGGGAAGTGCATTTTTAGTGAGGTGACCTTAGGGCAGCCTTGGGATGGTAGACAGAGTGCCCATAAATGTGGATAACGAATGCTAGGTTTGCCAAAGAGATCTGAATGCCTGGGCAGAAGGTTTTCTAATCCTGACATACAAGATAACCTTGCTTCTCTCTACTGGCAATAGGCTCTGGGTGCTTCTTCTTTATTTTACTCCTTTTCTTATTTTGTGCTGACAGCGTGGAATGGTAATCACAAAGTATTAGTAATGGTGAGGGATGGGTCTAGAAAGATGCCAGGCGAGATTTTCATACTAAGTGACTTTTGATACTTACATAGGATGAAAGTCCATCCACATGTAATACATCATTGAGATTGTTTGGTGTGAAACATTTTGAATGACCTGTTTTGGAATATAAATAATTTACACAGCAATAAACTGAGTTAGGTGAATGCCAGTAATTTTGTTTCTAGTGAAAAACTACAACTGAGCACGAATACTTTGTTTCTATTGCATAGATGAGTCACAGACACTTGGAGGATTAAGTCAGAGTGGGCAGCTGAGTGGTCTCTGTGTTACATTAACTCTGTTATGAAGACACCTGTAGAGCTGGAGTCAAGAAGAATCTTCACTCCTTAATTTCTGTAATTCTTTTGTTGTTTGAGTGCAATTGGAAAGAGGAGGGAAAGGGATGGAAAAGGATGTTATAGAAAGACTAGTACTCCCTTAACTTTCCCACTATTAAAATTAGAAGCCTGTTTCTCTCTACAGATGAGAAATGAACTTATTTCTTCACAGAGTAAATTCTGTAGTCTGTTAATAAACTATAGAAATTAGACTTAGAACTGAGACAAAATAATATTCACGTGTATGATTGCTGGTAATTCTTTATTTCTAAGTGATTATTCATCTAGTGACTAGAGATTTCTGTCCTGGTTTACTTGATAAATGGAATAATTAAATCATAATTACTCATCTTTGTATTCCTAAATTACAAGTAACCGGATGTTTTAATACCGTTAATATGGAATAATACTAGTGGCTCAAAATAATACCAGAGACTCAAAGATAACATTTGATATCTTTTTAAAATGTCTAAACATTTATTATTTTATTTGGTTTGTACAGTCATCCTTTTTTAGTGCTTGAGAAATCCAAGTTAGAGAAGGGTTAAATGACGTTCTAAAGACTACATGGCCAGTAACAGGCAGAGCCAAATTCAGAATGTGGCTTTCCAGACTCATGCTGCATTGTTCTAGTCTACCTTATTCTAAATATGTAAAAATTAAAATAGATTACATTTATTTAAGATAATTTTTAGTCTACAACTGTACATTTTCTGTTAAATATATAATTTGAAAGGTGTCTTAGTTGGCCCACTAATTTCATTTTCTTGAAAGGATTTAAAAACTTGTTATTGTGCAAGTAATACATAGTAGGAAAATGAGAAAATAGTGAGAAACAAAAAATGGAAAATTTAAAATTAAAACTGTCCCATTATACGGTATTAAGCACCGGTCCCTATCCTTCTCAGTGTTTTTCTGGGCATGTGTGTTTGTACATATGGTTTGCTATTTTGTAACAGTATGTCATGAATATATGTCCACATCAATATTAACATACTCTTACAACTTAATTTTCAATAACAACATTACTATTCCATTTTGTGGATGTCTTATTTATTTATTCAACACCCAACTATATGTTTAGGTTATCTTCAGATTCTTAATATTATGTATAAACTTGCTACATATGTCTTTGATGTATACTTCCCTCAGGATAATAAATTCCTAGAAGTAGAATTGTTGAATCAGTGGGTTTACATTTTTTTAAAGGTTTTAATGCCTATTACCAAATTTGAAGGGATTATACCAATTTGTACTAGGGCATTAATGGCCTGAGTGTGCTAATTCCCTATACTTTTGTCAGCATTTGGGTATTTTCCTTTTTTATAATCTTCCCCAATTTCAAGACAGTAAATAGTATCTCATTGCTTTTAGATTTCTTTGATTATTAAGGGAGTTGAACATCTTTTTACTCACCATGTTTACTCACCATTTATATTTCTTGTTTTGTCTGTTCAGGTTTTTTGCCCATTTTTTCTGCTGGAGTATTTATCTTGCTCTTAGTGATTTCCAAGGACTCCTTATGTATCAAGTGTAATAAATCTATTTTGACATCTAAGTTGCAAATTTTTCCCAACTTTTGGTCATTTAAATGTAATTTTTTCACTAAGTAGATATTTACTCAAGTTTCTTTCCCCAATTCCCACCCAGCCTCCTTTAGAGCATTTTTGTACTCCATAGTCATAAAAAAGTATTCACCTTTTATTTTCTTCAATCCTTTAAGTATCTTTAATGTTTTAATTTCTTTGAAACTTATTTTGGTATGAAATAATAGAAAAAAATATATACATATATACATACATACATATATATATGTTTATATATGTGTGTATATATATATATATATATATATATATATGTATACATACATACATACACACACAGACACACACACATATGGCTCTGCCCCCAGTTGCTGGCACAGAGTGCCCATGTAATTTCCTAAGTGATAAGAGCATAAGGAGCATCTTTTGTTCTAATGTTTGGTTTTACATTTCCTGACAGGGTACTAAATCCCTTGAAATTTTCAGTAATAGCAGTGTCTTTTCTTCTAATGAGGCCACTCTTGGTGGGCTCCTGGGTGGAGGCTGATCTCCAGAAAGACTAAGCCATGATTAGAAGCTTGGAATTGTCAGCCCTAATCCCCATTCTCCAGAGATGGGAGAGGGGCTGGAAACAGAGTTAATAATTGATCATGTTTGTGTGATGAAGCCCCCATAAAAATCCCAACAGTATGGCATTCCGAGAGCTGCCAGGTTGGTGGAGGTGTGGAGGTGCTCAGGAGAGGGCATGAAAGCTCCGCAGCCCTTCCCACATCCCCTGCCCTGTGTATCTTCCCGTCTGGATGTTCACCTGTATCCTTTATCACATTTTTTTATAATAAACTGATAAACAATAACTAAGCTGTTTTTCTGAGTTCAGTGAGCTGCTCCAGGAAATTCACTGAACCCAAGGAGGGGGTGTAAAAACCTCTGATTTATAGCTGATCGGTCAGATGTACAGGTAACAACCTGGACTTGCGTTTGCCATCTAACATGGGGAGGGGGAGTCTTGTGGGACTGAACCCTTAACCGTGGCATCTGATGCTGTCTCTAGGTGGATAGTATCAGAATTGAGTTCAACTGTAGGTCACCTAGCTGATGTCACAAAATTGCTTGGTGTCACACCTGGTGTCACAGGTGTTGTGGGTGTGGTGGTATGAGAGTAAAGGAGACACACAGGAGTGTAGGTTTTCTAAATGGTGTATGATCCAAGGTCAGGTTCTTTTATTTTTAGTCCCCAAATACTTAACAAAATATCCCAGCATGAGGTGTTTCTTTGTTCACTAATTGAAATGCAGTCATTATCACTTACTAAATAAGTAAGTAAACTTGAGTCAGTTTCAGGTCTTTCTATTCTATTAATCTTTCTGTTTGACTCGTGTAGGTACCTCACTGTTCTAATTATTGTGGTTTTATAGAGCATTACTACTACACAGTCCATTCATTGTTACTTTAGGTAAAAACAATCAATAATAAGACATATATGACCTCTGCCTAGATTGGCGTTTTGTAACTGGCTCCCATGTGGGAGAGCTCATCATCTGGGATATCATGGACTGGACGGTGCAGGCCTGTGAACGAAACTTCTGGGACCCATCTCCGCAGCTGGACACCCAGCAAGAAATAAAACTCTGTCAAAAACCAAATGACATTTCTATTCATCATTTCACATGGGATGAAGAGGTAAAAAAGAAATTGAATATCTATAAACTTGCCTTGTTAAATAAACCCAGTTTCTAATTTTTAAAATTTAATCTCATGTTAGATATAGAAAGGTATCATTCCCAATGTTCAAGTTGTGCTTTAAAATGTGATATTTTTCAGATTGTACCAGTTTCATTAAAAAAAAGCATGTTAGTCACAGGATATGGAGTACAGCATAGGGAATAGAGTCAATGGAATTGTAACAGCTATATATGATGTCAGAGGGGTAGTAGATTGAGGGAGGGGTGTTATCACTTTAGGAGGGGTGTAAATGTGTAAATATTACATTGTTTTGTAGACCTGAAGCTAATTAAAAAAAAAAAAAGGCATTTTAATCTTAGCTGCTATCCTTGAGACATGGCATTGACTAAATGGCCACAGACTGAAAAGCACTTACTGAAATTTTGGGTTGGATTAAATAATCCCATAGGATTGGAGGATAATGCTTTAAATTGTTTGAAGAAACACTTTGGGAAAGAATCCTATTAAAGATTCTGGTGCATTTCCTAGAGAGGTAAAGGAAATTAGAAATTTCAGGAATGTTTTTTAGTCCGCTAGCATCCTGGGGCAAGATGACTGTGAGAATTACTGCCTTCAATCCTTTTAGGCCTTGGAGATGATGCTCTTGAAGCACTTCACATCTTTTTTGCAGTGAGATTAGTACCAATAGATGAATGATTTCTGGCTCTGATCTTAACATCTCTTCTTGTAGCTTCAGGGCTCAGAAAGTGTGTTTAAGGGGGGTTACTTATCTAAGTGTAATCATAAGAAATATTCAAGGGAACCTTTGAGGAGAGGAGTTAGGGGAGGCTTTTATTTCACGTCTTTTTTTTTTAAAATAATTTTTTCTTTCATTTTTTTATTAGTTTCAGGTGCAGTAGTTATACTTTTTACAGTGAAATAGTTATACTTTTTACCCCTCACAAAGTGACAACCCCCATCCCCCAATCCACCGCCCCTGTCTCACCTCCCCCCTCCCTGACATCATACATATCTATTACAATTCCCATGCCTTTCTTTACTGTTTAAATGTTCTAATCATATGCATGTTGTTATTTTTATTTAAACATTTAAAAAATAATGTTCTGAATGGGGGGGAGTATGGTCCATTTTTTTGTTATCCATGCATTTCTCTTTAAAAAGAAAACAATAGAAGGGGCCGGCCGAGTGGCTCAGTTGGTTAAGAGCTCGCTCAAGAGTTTGAGCTCTGAGTAACAGCGGTTCGATGCCCGGCCCGAGCTGAGCTGAGCTGCCACTGAGCTGCCAACGAGCTGCCAACCGGTGGCAGGATGGCTCAGCTAAAAAAACAAAACAAAACAAAACAAAACAATAGGATAAGAATAGGTTAAAGAACACTATTATACCCAAAGATTAAGTTTCTTTATATCCCAACCTTATTTTGAAAAATATTATATATGATAAAAACAATAGGGCTTCAGAAAAGATGGAAACTAGATTTCTAAGACCTGTAGCCCTAAAAATTATATGTACTCTTAATTTTCACGTTTTAAAAATTTTCAAAAAATATAAATTTTTCTCATTTTTGTAAAAATTAGTGTTTAAAAACAATTTTCATTTTATATTTTTAATCTTAAAAATTTTTATTGGTACTTACTCACTGCTATAAATGCTTGATAAAGCATTACTCAGTTTCCCTTAATTTTCTTTCTTTTATAGGGGGTTCCTTCTTTCTGCCAGGGCCATTAATTATTGATAACAGGTGATGGATAGAGGGACTCTGTTGAGTAAATGCTGCCCAAAAGCTCATTAATTCTCTAGGTGTGTTTTTTTCTTTGTGACCTTGGATAAATCATTTAAACTCTGCACAGATTTCTTGGTATTTAGGACTAATTTCTGGGGTTTCTTTGTATTGAATGCTACCCATAGGGCTCTGGATTTTAGCAAGTTGGCCTGTTTTCATTAATGCCCTGGCACTGGTCCTCAGCTTGCATTGCTAAGTATAAAGTACCAATTCTGAGGCTCGGGGATCGTACCACATTTAGACTGGGAATCCTTGAGGCAAGCTTTGGTCCACATGCTGTAGGTCTGAACTGGGTTTGTAGCCTTTGAGGCTGCATGAGAAGGGTTCCAACAGGGAGGCAATCTGCAGGGATGTTTGAAAGGTCTGCTTCACTGGGATACCTACTGAGTAAGAACGAATGCTTCTAAGACAAGTGCTACCAAAAGTCTAGTGACTTGAAAGATAATTTCAGAGCCTAAGTGGTGTGGTCTGAGGGAAGAGCAAGGGACTGGAGTAGCATGACCTTGATTCTAATATCTACTCTTTGTCTTAATGTCTTTTGTGACTTGAATCTTTCAGCTTTAACTGGCTCATCTGGAAAATGGCAATATTTGCTTTTCCTACCTTAATGAGATGTTGTGAGGCTGAAGTAAAATAAATATTTGTGAAATTACTTTCAAAAGATTAAAGTTGTTTGGGTAAAAAGTGTTTTCTAATACTACATTTGGAAAAATGTTTTTGTGGTGTCTTCAGAGGATCTTACGATGACAATGCCACTATAGCATAGGCTTTTTTCCTATCCTTTATAGGTCCCTTGATTGTTTAAAATGTGCAGTGCAGGTAATTTTGCTTACATTTTCCAGGCAAAAACAACTAAGTAATTTCCCCAATTACAAGTGGTGTTACGTGAATGAAAACCTAGCTTGTACCTCAGCAGCTTCTGCCACGGGGCCGATCTGCCAGCCGTAGCTCCTTTCTCTCCTGGTCATATTTCCGTAAGGAAGAAAGTGATGCTAAGGGATGTAATATAGAGAGCTTTCTCTGTATTAGCGGTTGTGTCCTTCTACTTTCTGAATGATCAGAGCTTTCCTTTGTGATTTGACATTTTGGACTTCAGAGGGCAGCACAGTAATTGGGACTGAAGGCTAGGAATAGGGATGGGAACAGAGGCTTTCTGATGTCATACCAGGGCTGGCAATCACTACATTAGGTAGTTGCAAATACTAGTTTTATGCTAATTTCTGCACTCCCCCCACCATCCCTCCAGAATGTATTTGCTGCAGTCGGAAGGGGTTTGTACGTGTATAACCTTCAAATGAAGCGTGTGATCGCCTGCCAGAAAACGGCTCATGACTCCAGTGTCCTGCACCTTGCCAAGCTTCCAAACAGGTACAAGACCCATCTGCTCTGCCGCAGATGAGAGACAGTCCCCGCTCCTGGGGCTACCAATGTAGTTGCTCAAGTGGCACAGTGACCTGGCTTTGTGGCTAGGCCTGCTGTATTCTTTTAGAAATGGAGAGCCCTGGGGGCTGTTTCTAACAGAAGAGTTTGTAGCAACTATTGGGTTGTCGGAAAAGTCATGACATATTTTTTCTGTTTTTCGTAGCAAAAATGCATCATGACTTTTCCGACAACCCAATATTATTACAAAGCAAGGTTCAAACGAATTACACTGAATTGCATTATGAGAAGAGATACTTTAAAATATGGTATTTATTCAAAACGTAAAAGACTTTTGGGCACTTACTATGTGCTAATTTTTCTTTGTATATTTTCCATAAGCACATCTTTTTGTTGTTGTTTCTTTGTTCATAGCCAGAATCAGATGGCTATCCGTTGTCTGAGGCTACCGAGGGCTGTCCTCTCACAGTAAATGTGGCTCTGAATTTTCAGGGATGAAATTATATGAAGGGAATAGTATAATTTTCTATGCAGGATACTTTCGGAGTGAGAGGCACCCTGAGAAGAGATATAGTGAGAGGAGGGAAGGGGACTGCTCAGGGTAATTCATACCCTGTTTTCCTGAATGTATTTTAAAAAATGGAGGTGAAATATTTGTAACATTTGAGCCAGTGTAACAATATAATATGTGCCTTTCCTGAAGTGCTTTTACTTTGCATTGTAAAGCCATGTTAAGTTGAGATTTTTATCAGCTCTTGCCAAGAGCTGAATAAAAGCAGTTGAGGGCTCCTCTGATTTCTTTCACTGCAAATTTCGCATTGGCCCTCCATGGTGCTCTTTTTATCACGGATTTTCTGTTCTGACAGGCAGTTAATCTCATGCTCAGAAGATGGCAGTGTACGCATTTGGGAGTTACGAGAAAAACAGCAGCTTGCCGCTGAACCAGTACCAACAGGTGTGTGTCTTTTCTCAAAAAGGTAATCTTTCTCTTTTTCTCATATGACAGGCGGAAGAGAGGCAGTTATGGATAACCACAAGAATAATATACAGCATGCTGTAAATAAGATATTTACATGAAGCATATGGTAATTGGGATCTAGAATTCACATCTTCACATTGCTTTGACATAGAATTGCTTGTTTATTTCAATGCAAGTCAATTAGGATTTTACTGTTCCAAGGGAAAACCTATTTTCTGGTCATCTCACTGACCAAATAGCCTAATAAAGTAATAAGTCATTGATATCATTTATAATTCTGCCACATATACAAACAGAATTTGTACCATCAGATGGCAAACTGAAGTGCTCTTTCAGACTTGAAGCATTATTATTAGCACTGAACTCAGTTTATGGAAAAACACACTCTTCTGTTTATATCATAATCTCATGAGCTCTTGACTTTCAGGCGTTTGGTTTGTAAAACAAAATCCTGGTTAGTTAGCAACATTTGTATAAGAAATCAGATGCTGGTAGCTCTGGGGTTTCTCCTGGTTATCTGAAGCTGTGGGGTATTGTTTTTGGATACACATGTTGCTTTTTGACTACCTTTTGTTCATAGATCTGAGTTGTGACCCCCCCCACACACACCCTCTGCCCCCTCTTTGGCACTGTCATTCAGCCCTTTTACTTCTCTCCTTGTTCATTCCCAGTGTCTGTCTTTTGTCACGTTAATACATTTTCACCAGTGGGTGAGTATGGGCAATAAAAAGAGATTAGCAATAAACCTGGTCAGATAAGAAAGAAGAAATGAAGTACCATTTAAAATCCCTAGAGGGCTGGCCGAGTGGCTCAGTTGGTTAAGAGCTCACTCAAGAGTTTGAGCTCTGAGCAACAGGGTCACGTTCGATTCCCAGCCTGAGCTGAGCTGCCGCTGAGCTGCCAACAGGTGGCAGGATGGCTCAGCTAAAACAAAACAAAACAAAACCCTAGAGTAGTGCCTGGTCCCATCCCTTTAGCCCTTAACTAAAAGTAAGTGCAGAACATCCCTGCATTTACATGTCCTGGTTTCTGATATTTTAATACTATCGTAAGTAAAGAGCACAGTAATTTTGCAAGTGACTGAAATGATTGTGTTTTTCTAGTTTTTTTTAACATGTGGGGATTTGGAAGAGTGAACAAACAAGCCAGCCAACCTGTTAAAAAGCAACAAGAAAATGCCACTTCATGTTTACTGGAGCTTATTGGAGATTTGATTGGACACTCGTCATCTGTAGAGGTATTGTTTTTAATAGGCGCGTAAATGTCCAGGGAATTCCTGCTTTTGCATCTCACTGCTCTTCGTTCAGCTGGTCTCATAAAGACCTATATTTTCTTATCCGTAGGATTTTGCTGAATCAAGACACGGAACAGGATAAGTTATAGTATGTGCAGTTAGGATCTCCCTTTACAGAGACATGATTTGAGGAAGCAAGGAATGCTGTGCTTCTAAAAAATGGGCTTACTCACCATTACTTATGAGATGAAGATAGCTGATAATAAGGACAGTGTGAACAGGTTGAATGTGTAACAGTAGTAAGTAGAGAGTGCGTGGAGGGTTGTGGTTATATATGTAGGTAGCCTTACAGAATCTAATTCCAGGGGCCTTTATCATACTCATGAAGAGAGCACGTTTTTATCTCCCTTGGAAGGATAATAATGTTAGCTTCAGTAAAACCCAGTGTCTTATTATTATGCATATGTGAAAATATTAGTTGAGAATTATAAGATGCATACAATTCTAACGTGTAAATCCAGATACATTAGTTACTATAGGCACCATTGCCTGTAATGAAGGAATGAGATCAGTGGAGATAAGGTGCTGACTGGAACTGATAATAGTATGATAGCAGTATAAGCAAGGCCCTAAGTAATGAATTTCTTAAATTGTTCTTCCCTGTTTCATAGCTTGGGAGGAACAAATGACTTTTCATGTGAAAGTGCATTTATGCTTAAGAGTAGCAGGATCACACTTTTTATTGAGCATTTCCTATATTTCAGGCACGAGACACTGGCATTTACAAAGAGATAAAATGTACCACGATTACCATGCCCTCATGGAACCCACACTTCAGTAGAGAGGAAGGCTACAGACCTAATAAGCTGTTAGTCTAGGCTGCTATTGATGGACTCAGATGAATAGCAGGCCGTGGATATTCAGGAATTAGAAGAAAATGGTTTGTGGAAGACATGGGACTCGAGACCTGAGCTGAACCTTGAGGTTAGGAAGGATTAACATAGACCTGTTACAGCAGGCTCCCAGATGTTGGGTACTGTGTCTTATTCATGTTTGCTTTTCTCTCACGGTAGCCCAGTTGTTTTCATTTTGTTTTGTTACTTACCTTTGTCTCTGGTTGGCTATAGGGTAGTTCGGGCGTGGTGAGGACTGAATGTGGTGGACAGAAGGGCAAAAATAGGACCTACTTGGTGGCAAGGAGCAGATGGTCTAGGCTAGAGCACTGGGTTTCTGTGAACAGACTATAGGAGGTAAAGCCTGGGAAAGGAGTTTTGGGTCAGATTATGAATATCCTTAAATGTAAGGCTGAGGAGTTCGGACTTTATTTTTTTAAATTTTTTGATATGCTTTTTTTTTTTTAAAGAATTATTTGTTTTCAATTACAGTTGAGTCTATATTATTTTATATTAGTTTCAGGTGTACAGCATGGTGGTTAGGCATTTTTATAATTGGCGATGTGATCCCCCTGACTAGTACCCACCTGGCAGTATACATGGTTATTACAATACTATTGACTGTATTCCCTGTGCTGTACTTTATATTCTCTTGACTGTTTCGTAACTACCAATTTGTACTTCTTAATGCCTTCACTTTTTTCAACCATCCCCCCAACTCCCTGCCCATCTGGCAACCATCAGTTTGTTCTCTGTACCTGTGAGTCTGTTTCTGTTTTGTTTATTCATTTATTTTGTTCTTTAGATTCCACATATAAGTGAGATCATATGGTACTGGTCTTTCTCTTTCTGACTTATTTCACTTAGCATAATACCTCAAGTGTAAGATTTAATTCTTACCTATGGCCAAGTAATATTCCATTGTGTAAATGTACCACATCTTTTTTATCCAGTTGTCTATTGATGTGCAGTTAGGTTGCTTCCATGTCGTGGCTATTGTAAATAATGCTGCAGTGAACATAGGGGTGCATATATCTTTTCGAATTAGTGTTTTGGATTTTTTCAGACAAATACCCAGAAGTGGAATTGCTGAGTCATAAGGTAGTTCTATTTTAAATTTTTTGAGGAAGCGTCATACTGATTTCCATAGTGGCTGCACCAGTCTGCAGTCCCACCAACAGTGCATGAGGGTTCCTTGTGCAACACTAGTTGTTGATTTATTGATGATGGCCATTCTGACAGTTGTGAGGTGATATCTCATTGTGGTTTTCATTTGCATTTCTCTGATGATTAGTGATGTACAGCATCTTTTCCTGTCTATTGGCCATCTAATATGACCTCTTTGGAGAAATGTCTATATAGATCCTCTGCACATTTTTTAATTGGATTGTTTGTTTTTTTAGTGTTCCATTGTGTGAATTGTTTATAAATTTTGGATATTAACCCCTTAAGAATGTATCATTGGCAAATATCTTCTCCCATTCAGTAGGTTGTCTTTTGTTTTGTTGATGGTTTCCTTTGCTGTGCAAAAACTTTGTAGTTTAATGTAGTCCCACTTATTTTTACTTTTGTTTCCCTTGCCTGAGGAGATATATCAGAAAAAATATTAGTAAATTAGTAAGAGTAATGTCTGAGAGTTTACTGCCTATGTTTTCTTCTAGGAGTTTTACGGTTTCGGGTCCTATATTTTAATCTTTAATCCACTTTGAATTTATTCTTGTATATGGTGTAAGAAGGTGGTCTAGTTTCATTTTTGCATGTATCTGCCTGGTTTTCCCAGCACCATTTATTGAGTAGAATGTCTTTACCCATTGTGTAATCTTGCCTCCCTAGTCATAGATTAATTGACCTTATAGGTGTGGGTTTATTTCTGGGCTCTCTATTCTGTTCCATTGATCTGTGTCTGTTTTTATGCCAGTACCATGCTGTTTTGATTACTATGGACTTGTAGTATAGTTTGATATCAGGTAGTATGATACCTCCAACTTTGTTCTTCTTTCTCAGGATTGGTGTGGCTATTTGGGGTCTTTGATGGTTCCATGTAAGTTTTAGGATTATTTGGCCTAGTCTATGAAAAATGCCATTAGTATTTTGATAGGGATTGCATTGAATCTATAGTTTGCTTTGGGTAGTATGGACATTTTTATGATGTTAATTATTCCTATCCATGAGCATGGTATATGCTTCCATTTGTCTGTATCTTCAATTTCTTTCTTCAGTGTCTTATAACTTTCCAAGTGCAAGTCTTTTACCTCTTTGGTTAAATTTATTTCTAGGTATTTTACTTTTTTTGATGCAATTGTAAATGAGATTGTTTTCTTAATTTCTCTTTCTGATAGTTCGTTATTGGTATATAAAAATGCAACTTATTTCTGAATATAAATTTGTTATCCTGCTACTTTACTGAATTCATTTATCAGTTCTAATAGTGTTTTGGTGGAATCTTTGAGGTTCTCTCTATATAATATCATGCCATCTGCAAATAATGATAGTTTTACTTCTTCCCTTTCAATTTGGATGCCTTTTATTTTTCTTGTCTGAATGCTGTAGCTGGACTTCTAATACTATTGAATAAAAGTAGTGAAAGTGGACATCCTTGTTTTGTTTCTGATCTTAAGGAAAATGCTTTTAGCTTTTCACTGTTGAGTGTTAGTTGTGGGTTTGTCATAAATGGCCTTTATTATGTTGAGGTATGTTCCTTCTAGTCCCAATTTGCTGAGATTTGATCATAAATGGATGTTGGATTTTGTCAAACTCTTTTCCTGTATTGATATGATACGATTTTTTTATCCTTCATATGTTTAAGTGGTTTATCACATTAATTGATTTGCAGATACTGAACCAACCTTGCATCCCAGGACAAAATCCCACTTGGTCATTGTGTATGATCTTTTGAATGTATTGCTAAATTTGGTTTGCTAACATTTTGTTGAAGACTTTACATCTATGTTTATCAGCGATATTGGTCTATAATTTTATTTTTTTGTAATGTCTTTATCTGGCTTTGGAATCAGGGTAATGGTGGTCTTATAAAATAAGGTTGGGAGCTTTCCATCTTGATTTTTTTTCAATAGCTTGAGAAGGATAGGTGTTAATTCTTCTTTGAATGTTTGGTAAAATTCACCTGTGAAGCCATCTGGTCCAGGACTTCTGTTGGGAGTTTTCTGTTTCTTTTTGATTCAGTCTTGGAAGATTATATGTTTCTAGGAATTTATCCATTTCTTCCAGATTATAGTATGTTCTTACAATCCTTTGTATTGCTCTGGTGTGAGTTGTTACTGGATTTTATTTTCAAAATAGTAGGAACCCATTAAAAGTTTTTAAGTGGTGGGGGAACCTTCACAGTGGCACATTTGTCATAATATAGAAATGTCAGATTGTTAGGAATTTTCCAGAGTGTAAGTATTGACACTTAAGCATTTTTCAAAAAGTATCTGACTTCATTGAGAAAATCTAGGCTCTCAGGTGCTGTCTCAGTTTCCTCATTCCTTTTACTATATTTTCATCTGTACTTTCTAGCCCAACCCTTCTGTGTACTGAATTCTTAGTTCTAGCTCCTGAGCAAGTTTGCTCCTATATTAACCCCGTTCACACCGACGTCATCAGCGGAGGCCTCATCCTGCTATCTTCAGAAATGTATAAGTTATTTCAGAGAAAGTTCTCATTCTGCTGTTTTGTTTTTTTTAATATTGTTTTATTTGTCTCCTTTATTTCCCTCTTTCCTTGGAGGAGCTTATCCTTTTCATGGCTTCATTCAGCTCATCTTCGATGCCAGCTCTCCACTCCACAGTATTCATGCTGCCTTCTCATCAGTTCTCCATTGTCCAATTAGTTTCTGACCTTTTCCTTCACTGGCCATGACCTTTCCTTTATTTGGAGAGGTTTATGTTTTGAAACTTCCTCTGACGATTTCAGTTATTATTGATCTATGTTCCCCTTTTCTGAATTTCTGTGGCAAATCATAGTCTAAACTACATTATTATAATATATAGTACCTGATTTCATAGTCTTTAATTGGTGCCATAATTGTTTCAACTATGATTTGGTTTTTACAATGGAATTAGAACCTTCTTGAGGGTAGCGACATAAGCATATAGATGACAGTAAAGCTTATGGATGGATTAATTATCTCCTTTTTTATAGAGAGCTGAAGCCAGTGTTTTTGAATTTTGGATTTAGACTTTGTTTTAGGTAGCCATTTGTATGTAAATAATGAGGAAGTATAAATGATTAACTCAAGTAAGTCTGGCAGGACTTCTGACAAAATCTTAAAGCCAGTACTTGAATAATATGGTAAAATTTCAGAAGATACTTTGGGAATTCATGTACATTACAAAAATAGCTATTATTTATAGTTCTATTAGTTAAGTAGTCAAATACTAGGTATTTGTCTAGTATTTATATATGACTATTACCAACACGTAAAATTTCTCATGGAAAATGAGTTTTGCATTCAGATTCAAAGAAGTCTATAAGGTACATATCTTACAAGCACATGTGTTAACCTAGTATTGGCTCTTCTGTTCTCCTTGAAGTTCCTATAATCAGTAGCTTTAAATTTCTTTACAGATGTTTCTATACTTTGAAGATCATGGCCTAGTGACATGTTCTGCTGATCACCTCATTATTTTGTGGAAAAATGGAGAACGAGAATCTGGATTGCGCAGTTTAAAATTATTTCAAAAATTAGAGGAGAATGGTGACTTATATCTTGCTGCCTAGTTTAAGGACTTCAGGATACGTATGAATGAACCTTGAACATCAAATAGAGGGTAATACTCTGAAATCCATTAATGTAGTGATCACTTAAATGTGTAATGTGTATTTTTTTTTCTTGTCGCTCCAAAAACGCTGTTTGAATTTTTGTGGGCATGGAAACCAGCAACAGATTGCTTCTTAGGTATTAGTACATCTACCAATGAATATACCTCAAGTATTTTAGCAAATTTTCACATCACAGTAAAAATATACAGAATTAAATTATTCCACAGTGTCCCTATAGGCAATTAAAATTGTTTTTGCTTTAAAAAAATTCTACACAAGAAATTACAAGCTTATGTTTAAGAAGGAGAATAGTAGTCAGAACCTCTGAAATTAGTATAATTTTATCTCGAATTAAATTCCTATCCAAAGTGAATATTTTAACTACACCTGTTCATTCCCTTAAAAATATATTTAATGAACCTACTTTTAAGGAAATAAACATGATAATTCCAGAAGATATTTGGGAGAAAAATGGAAAAAACCCACTGAAGAACAGGTAGGATGCAGTGTATCTGAATTTAAACCTGAGATCTCCAGGAGATGGCGCCTTCCCTGTAGGAAATGAAGATCCTGTAGTAGCTGCGCTTGGCGCTGCTGTGGACGTGGTGAGTTCTGCGAGTGCCTTAGTTTGCACGGAGACCTTGTGAAGAGGTGCAGGTAGAGAGGACAGTCAAGTTGTGGCATTAATTAGAAGGTTTTATTATTTGGTTTTCTTTAGAGCCCGCTGATGATATATTTAAATACATCCGTTCTCCTACACATTCCCCTGGTCTTTAGTAATTATCAATGTTCTTGTTCTATAGAACAAACCTAAATCTCTCACTGTTTAACTACAACCTTTTTTTGTTTGTTTGCCAAATAATTTGTTTAAGTCATTTTTTAGTTTTAGTTCTAGCTACTAAAATGCCTATAGACTCAAATTAATAGCAATCTTATGAAGGCGTACTCTTCCCCCAGTGTGAACTGGCTGAACAGCTATTGGCTGGATTGGTGCTACACCAGCAGCTGCCCCTTACCTAGGCCAGTGAAGAGTTACAGTGTTTCCAAAGTCAGAGACGGCAGCCCGAAGTGCCCCATCCATCTCACCACCGACGCCAATATGAAGTACTTGAGAAAGGCTTCACTTGCAGTGGCCACTGAGAGGTTTAGTCACCTTTATCACCCACTGGCTTATATCAGAGCACTCTTTCCCTTCTGGTACTAAAGAATAAAAGTTAAAAAGCGTTCCACACATTAAAAAATGGGTGAGTTTAATTGTGGAGTTAAAACTGCTGAGGAAAGAATCCTATGAAAGTAAGTGCAAGGTGATGGATATGTCAGGACTGATTTTTTCCAGGACACTTTCTCAGATTTATTTGTTCATCTCTCTCTCTTTCACACACACTCGATGGAATCTTTGTAAAGTGCTGTTTTTACTAGTTTTACCTTTTACCTCCACAAACTGCTCACAAAGACTGGAAGAGCTAAGGCCACCTGTGCCAGACCATGCCATAATGTTATAAAATGAGGAAACTGAGGCCCAGACAGGTAAGGCCTTGCAATTTGTTAGCTCTAGTCCATTATCATTGGGCAGCTTTCAAAATAGAAATTGAAGAGGACTGGAATAAGAGAGAAAGGCTTACATGACTACCACTGGAGGAAAACTGAAGACTATGAGTAGGAAAAGGAGCAATTCATTTTAGCCCACTAATGGTTGGTACTGTGGAGTCTAATCATTCATCCTGAAATTGGAGCCCGGGCCAGTAGCGTCCCTCCACCAGGCAGACATGCTTTCTGGTCTGAGTGCGTCAGATGGTTGATCAGTTTGATTAAGTATCTGAGAATCATTTTCAGGCTCTTAATTTTTCTCTATAGATGGACTTGACTCCATTACTAGCTAGCGTTTTCTTGTGTTATTTAAGGTATATTTAATGAAGGTATATTTAATGAATTTTATTTCCTAATCTGTTCTGGGCTAGTATTTTGTGATAGTAATCTATTCACATGGTGTGATACAAGCCACAGGTGAGTTTTGGGAGCAAATAATAAGCACCACTGTAAATCCCTCTGTTAGACTGTAGTTAGTTTTCTGCCTGGGGAAACTCATATGTTTAGAGGGAAGCCTCCAACCCATTCACTGGACTTAATGGTTTTTGCTTTCATGAATGCCCTAATTTAGAAGAATACAGTTATAATTGAGGTCAACATATATTGTGTGCATTTTTTCCATTTTCTAGCTTTTCAACTCTATTATATTTGCAACACCAGCAGTAACACTATGTTGTGTTTCTTATAAAGTCCAGGGGCACTCTTCCATTTATCTTCCTAAGTGGAGGGGGTCTGGGTTCTGATGAGGCTTGTTCTTTGCCCATAAGACTAACCAGTCTTGGCTGAAGGCAAGCCAATTTTAAAATCTTAAATTGGAAGTAAAGAATGACTTAAATTATAGGGTCATGCTGGTCCAGGTAACATTTTCTAACTTCTGGTTAAGCAGTCGCAATAATGTGACTTCTCTCTGTATTAGTGTTGCATTTTCCTAAATTAATATAGCTCAACACAGTGTTTTAGAAAACAACTCAGTATAAGAGGCAATTATATACCCATCTGATATACATGTCGTCTGAAACACTATATTTCTAATAAATTGACTGTTTGAAGGAATGCACTATTTAGTTAGCACCTCAGTAGTAGTTACACTGCTAAAGAGCAGAGCTATGCTAAAGCTTTAGAACCTGGCAGTCTTAAGACATTTAAGCTAATATAAAATTAATTTAACAGTTCACTGAGTAAGCTATAACATTCATATAGAAAATGTCAGATAACTGATAAATGTTACTTACCAAATGGAACTGAAAGAGGATGGTCAGGAAAAGGTTGTCCTCACCTCAAGCAAGCCTCTGAAGCCTAGGCAAATTATTTAGCTCCTTAAAATGGGATTCTGACATCCTGAATTTAATGTGTTCTGAAAACAAAGTGTATGACTCATGAAATAAAGGACACTAAACTGAAAATTTGAAATTACAAAAAATTTAGGCCAAAGAGGATATAAAATAAAAACAGCTGTTGGGAGTGAAAAATGGCTGTAGGAATTTAGTTACAAGTACTTCACAAAAACATTTTCATCACATGTACATAATGCAGCATTACAATACAAAGCTAGCTGCTGTCCTGACCAAGCACGTTTCCTTATCATCTAACAAAAATAATTTAGATACATTTCTTTGCATGGAATTGTTGTACGTTTCCATTTTTTGGTACAAAACATAGAAAAAAAACATTGGCACATCATGTAGTGATAGATCATTTTTTTTTCCTTCCCATGTATTAGTTCCAAGTGTTCTGCCTTCCAATTTTCATTTGAAAAAAGTAACTACTGATTCAGTTAATTTAGTCTCTCCTTAAACCTCTTAAAAATGCAGCATGGAGTACAGAGAATTTGAAAGAAAACTGAAGATTTTTTGTTTACTGAGTTTCTAATATTTATAATACATAGAGAAAAGTTGGCTGGTAAAAGAGGAAGGAAAATGTCAAGTCCGATTTCATGTAGGTCACAGAAAGTTGTGAAAAGAGCTGTATAAAAATATGCATTTGTGCTTTAGAAGCTTTTAGCATACAATTAATAGTATTTACTGCTTCCCCATATGTCTATTTTCTGATATATTTACACATCTTGCAATCTTTTTTTGTACATTAAAGAAAAATGGCATGATCTCAGATATGAACAGGTTAAAAACATCTGAACCTTGAAACTTCTAGCCCCTCCCCAAATATATACGTATAGATGGTACATGGTACAATATACTCCATTGACTTATACCCAGAAAATTTAGATTGATTTAATAAAAATTTTAAACAGCAAATGTATATAAATCTTTTCTTTTTTAGAAAAAGCTTGTCTAAGGGCATTCAGATTTAATGGCTTTTATATATAATACTATATAGTGCCTTGTGACTGCCTCTGTTAACCAAAATAAGGGAAGCTCATGGAGTCCCTTGAAACACAGTGTCACTCCCTTCCCCATCATAGATGGCTCTCCGTTAAGATGAATGCCTTTTATAGGAAAGAGGGCTACGCAGGCTGCTGAAACCAGTCTAGAGAAGGCACTCCCAGGCCAAGGCTGTGTTCTAACCTGGGTGTCACACTTGGGTGTCTTCGATCAGAAGAACCACTGAGCCATGGAGGCTGTGAAGCTAACCAGTTTATCAATAATTTGGTCCTAGTTGTTTTGCTCATTTTGTATATAGTTTTTTTTCCTTGATATCCTTAGGAATCTTTCAGACCAGTGCTCTCAAGGAAAACAGCGACGCTGAACAGTGACGATGACTTTTGTAGTAAGAGGTGAGCAGACCACTAGCTAAGGTACTTGCTCATCATCCAGGGAAATGGGCGCAAAGGCACCGAGTCTTTGTGGCTTTTGTCCTGCTAGTTACAGTCACTCAGCTGAGCGGCCGACGAGGGCGCACGGGGTAACAGGGCGAAGGTTTTGTCATTAAGTGTACAAAAGAACATAGATGTTTCTTCATGGCACTTTCTACAAATGACATTTGGGGACTTAAATGATTCAAGGTCAAATATGAAACATTACCTCCTTAACCTGTACCTGTCATTTTCATTACAAAGGAAAGCCTCCTGTTTACACTACTGTGATTCACCGTGCCCTTTGCAGACAGCAGGTCCTCTTCGGTCTGCGCTTTAGTTGTCAGATGGAAGCCTCAGACTTTTGCACTTTAGGTCATCTAATGTCTTCCAGTGTTTGTAGTTATTGGCCAGATGTTGCATCAGGGCTGGCAGATGTGCAAAGGCTGCAAGGATGTGAAAGGGTCAAAAGAAGCCCGTTAAGTTAGATCCCAGGAGCATTTATAAGTCTGGGGCTCTGTGGGACATTTTGGGATCCGAATTGGAGGAGAGGGACCCTAGATTAGGCCTTAGGCTGCAAGTGAACACACAAGCATGGGAAGGGTAATCATTAAACACTAGTTTCTGAAATACAAACAGGTCCTTTTAATTAAAGATTGGAAAGCCATTTATCAGTGACATTACCAAAATAATCTGGGATTCAGAATAGACTTAGTACATTTTGTGTTCTTTCTAGAGTTTCCTCCAATGATAGACTAAAACTGTCATAAGCTTTGGAAACACGTCCTTTGAAGAGGGGAAGGCTTGCTTATCAGTTTACCAAACATCCATTGAGTCTTCCCGTACACAAGGTTCATGCCAGGTGCTGGGGACACAGAAAGTGTCCACACTCCACTACACCGGGCCATAAACAGCTGACTAAAAAGACCATCTCAGTTATACCTTGAGGCCCAGCCTATGTCACTAAAGGTGATCACATGAAAGATAAAACGCTGTGTGGGTGACAAAACAAAGTATCTTACCATCCCAAGCATCAAACATGTCTGTTATGAAGTAGTCGATGAAGGAGATTTGGGACTTGGGGATGCTACAGGTGTTCCGGTCAAACACTGGCATCACCACGGGCAGCCCCTGCCTCTTCTCTTCATCCGTCTATAAAGCATAACAACACACAGGGCTGGGACAAAGAACTGTAGCATCTAGTTTCTCAGAACAGCCCTGTGAAAATGGGCCACCACCCAGCTGCACCGTATAGATAAAGAAGCAGGCTCAGCAAGGCTCTGAGGCTGAGAGCCTAAATCAACCATCCGCCTGAGGAGAGGCAGTGACTAAATTCAGGTCCTCTGACTCAAGTCACGCTAACCCACAGCCCCTCCTGAAGCACTGATCCTCTCAGGGTTCATACACCCTTTGCTGAGATCTCTTCATTATTGCAAGGTCAAGACTATTTCCAAAGTAATAAGTACTAACACAAATAATACTAGTTGACATTTACACTGAGCGTACAGAAGCAATGGTGGGTAAAGCTGCTGATGCCTTAGCAGGAACCAAAGAACTGGCACCAAACTGTACCAACAGCCATTGTATTATTCACTGTCACATGCTTGCAGCTTAAAAAGAAAGCCTGTGTCACTTAAGAACATCCTCATTGAAGCAGTAAGAATTACGAACTTACTAAATTTGGACCTTTGCGCATACGTCTTTTTGCTCTTCTGTGTGACAGAACGGGAAGTACATACGACACCCTGTGCTGCACACCAGACGATGCTGGCTGTGCGAAGGAAAGCACTGAGGCAATGCGCTGAACTGGCCCAACCGCTTTCATGGAAAATGTGTTCACTCAGAATACTGACTGACGAACAGTGATTGTTCAGATTTGGGCATTGCGCATGCAGTTTGCTCGAGGTGTGTGTAAATCTGAGTATTTTACACAGTGGAGTGTGTGTTTCTATGCGTACGGCCACAATTCACTGAGCTGAACACTAAGATCCACATTTCCTGGGGTGTGTTGAGCCAGAGGCCAGCTGATCAAAGGCCTTATTTGTTGTAACTTTTGATTTTTAGGTCACATGGTCTTGTGAACATCATACGTTCCTTGTTGGGAAAAGGACTCCTAAACAGGGAGCTTACATTAAAGAACTTAAAAGCGGTTCTTTCCTGTTCGCCATTCACATGCTTTGAGAAGAACGAGGATTTCAGGGCCTCTGTGTGGGTCCTGGGAAGCCCTCTACTACCGACCAGCTTCTGGCTCAGCTGGCCAGTGGATCAGGCAGCCTGAAAACATCCACTGTTGTTCAAGTTTTTTCTGGCAAGCCCAGAACTGCCTGTCCTACTTTTCTTCAATTCAGGGTCTCTCTTCCTAGCCTCGAAAGCTGCAGTTAACTTACTGAGTCCTCAGCTGGCCATTCCCCCCGCCGGACCTTCTAGCTATGGGCCATTTTTCCTGCCTCTGGTACATTCCAGCCATACAGCAGGCCACCCCTCCCCCACACTCCCCAAATGCATTACTTATAGATACGACTTGTGTGTTTGTCTTTCTGTCATACATATATTAATACCTCAGTCCTTAGAGCCTCTTCTCTGCAAGTAGGCCTGTATTTCAAATGGCATCTTGTGGTCTATTTTCTGGATTTTTCTTCTGTAACTCCTCTTCCCACCGACTGCCAAAGTGAACTACATACTGCTGCTCTCTTTATATAAAAATTCTCTTTTTCCTGCTTACTAATTTTGCTCATAATGCTTTGTTCTATCAGACAGTCCTTTCTTATTTGCACATTTCTAAATCCTTCAAAATAACAGCTCTAACATCGTTTCCACACAATCCTCCTTTTACCTGGAAAAAATCTAAAC